GTGAACAGCATGCAGGTAGAAATGGGTGTGGTAGGGCCGGCTGAGGAGCAGACAACTAACTGAGGACGATGGCACAGAGGAACACAGGAACTGATAAAAATTAAAACACGAGGAACTAAATCCAGGAATCTCTGCTGTTAATGATCATAAAATTGATTATTTTAAATTAAAAGAAACTTGTTTTGATGTTTTTTTTTCAATAGGTTTAAATCTGCTAAGATGCAGGTGTTATTTCAGTGAAGTGTCAAAGTGAAAATGCTCCATGCTGTTTACTCTTTGTTGTGCTCATCATCCATCTTCTGCTTGATCTGGCCATTTGGTAAATGACTGATTTGATTAGACTTTTTCTAAAAGTTTTTTTTTATTTTTTATTTTTTACACGAGCATTTTTTCAGAATCCCACCCTAGTGAAGACCACCCTGATAGTCTCATTCGTAGTGCAACACGAACACTTTTAAAGTAATGCTGTAACAACACAGATAAAAGTTGCTGCTTTTGAACTTTGCTCAGGCGTGTCAGGATGATGGAAAAAGCAAAAGTGTGATGATCAAAGGCTGTGGCTGCTCTAGTTTCACCTGAGGCAGCTCAGATCCAGATCTAACTTTTGAACTGATCAAAGTGTCTCAGAGAGGTAACAGATTGTTTCCAGTAACCGCTTTAACAAAAGGAGTGTCATGAAAGACAGGTCACCTCTGCCGCTACCTGGAACTCCAGCACACCGGCACCTCAGCGAGACTGCTGAGTGGTCCAACGTGTCTGAGCTGAGATGAGAGATGGCTGTGCAGCCAAGGAGTCCTTGAAGGCCTTCAGAGGATTTTTTAAAGGAATTTGACAGAAGAGAAATAAAACTGAATTGAAATGAAAAAGTGTGCGTTTGCTGCTTGCAGAGAGCAAGAGCAGGTGAGGGTTATCAGTACTGGAGTCCCCGTGAGGTGACCGCCAGATCTTTTCTGGCGTTAGACTTCCAGTGATGATATTTTAATGCTTCCAGCTAAATAAACCCCCTTGAAGGGAGAACATGGAGGGAGGCTGGGCACAGACATGGGAGCCAGGAAGCTGAATTGGAGAGCAAACAGAGAGAAACAATAAAAAAGGTGAGGTGTGATTCCTGCACCACCGGAGGGCAAAGAAAGAAACACGAAAACAGGAATTTTGTGCAATCCAAGGAAGCAAGGAGTGAATTATCTAAGTGATTATTGATGCTGAACGCTGGCAAACCTGCAAGAAGGAAAACAGAGCTGAAAGTCAAGAGGGAGGCAGGTGAAGTAAGGGAAGGAGCACTCAGATCATAATGCAACATATCGTGATCACTTAATGATGGATATAGGCCACATGAAGCAAAAGATCATGCTGCTTATGTTGACAAACATTTTCAATTTGTAGCGCTCTGTGAGAGTTTTTACAGACGTCTCTGTGGGGATGTGCTCGTGTTCGTTTGTCTGTACTGTTCGCATCATTACTCCCCATCAATCAATGGATGTGCATCTACAAACCATTATCTTTGGAAATAACACCAATTCAAGATGGCTGCCACAGCTAAGGAACCTTAAGAAACACAAAACTAGCAGCAAACCAGCCAACTTTACAAACACTGGCCAAACATTGGTGTGGTAGTAGCAGAGGGTTATCGCCAACACATGCTCAAAGCTCGTGAGGTTGTTTTTATGATTACATTTACAAATGAAAGAATTTACTGTATGATTAAATTAAAATGAGCTTTGTCTTCAAAGTTGGAAATGTAAAGAGTACGATCGGACGTTAACGAGGGAGGATAATGTGCGGAGAACACAAAGATGACTCGTGAAACAATAAGCAGATAATTGGAGGCAAGCTGAGACCAGCCTGGTTCCTCATTGACTCAGCGTGGATTAGAAGCTGGGCTTTGTGCGCCTGTTTCTGTTTCAGATGTGAGGTGAGCTCAAACAGCTGGAGAGGTGAGATGTTTTTTCAACTCAAACAAGTTTATTTATTTAGTGTCATCACAACAGAAATCGTCTCAGGGCACTGAACAGAAACATTCATATATATAAATAATAATTTAACATTATTTATCTGAGGAGCAGACTGCTTTGAATTTAACTCCATCACAGACTCTCATCTTGAGCAAGCATGAAGGCGACAGTGGAAAGGAAAAACTCCCTCATGAGGAAGAAACCTTTAGCAGAATCAGGCTCAGGACAAGCAGCCATCTGCTTCGACCAGCTGGGTTTGAGAGGAACAGATACACAATGGCAGGTCAAGAATCACGTTAAGATAGAAATAGTATCAAACGAAAACTATTCAATTTTAACAATTCATTTAAGGAAATGAGGTAAATTTGTCCTCTAGTAGTGTAAGCCTAACAAGTCAACCCTAACTATAGGACTTATCAAAAAGGAAAGTATTAAGCCCAGTCTTAAAACTGGACAATGTGTCCGCCTCACGGACAGAAACTGGAAGTTGGTTCTGAAAGATCTTCCTCCCATTCTGCTTTTGGAAACTCTAGGAACCACAAGTAAGCCTGCAGTCTGAGAGTGAAATGCTGTGTTAGGAAAATATGGAACAATAAGATCTCAAATATAAGATGGAGCTAGGTTGTTGAGAGCTTTGTAGGTTAGAAGTAAGATTTTGAATTAAATTCTGGACTTGACAGGGAGCCAATGAAGAGAAGCTAAAACTGGAGCGATATGATCTCTCCTACTAACTCCAGTTAAGACTCTGGCAGCAGCATTTTGGATTAACTGAAGACTTTTTAAGGAAGTTTTTGGACGTCCAAATAATAAACCATTGTAATAATCCAATAATTTTTCAGCTTGGACTGCTAACAGATCAACGCCAGCATGTTCAGGCTAATCCCTTGACTTCAACTATCAATATGATGTAGCTGGAGGATGAAGACTCTCTGTCAACTCATGTCGACCTGTTATAAAATACAATAATTTTAGGTTTAAAAAAAGAATTTGTGACTAAAAATGAAACACAGTATTGTATAAAGCACAGGTAAAGAACAGGTGAGAGTGGACGCTCAACTGACTGAATGAGAAGTGTCACAGAGGAAACACAGGAACAGGACAGAACACATAAAAGACATCCATGAATTTATTTTATTTATTCATTTAATGTCGGTATTTGTGTGTCATCGCTGAGATACATCCTTTGTTACATAGAAAAATCAAGCATCATGTGTAGATTGTCTTTGGTGGACAATCACCATGTATGTCACAGATAAATGAAGTCTTAACCTTGTAAATGTAATCCGCTTGGATGCATACACTCTGCTTTATGGCTGAGCGATCTATCATTTTGTTCCTAAATGAAATGGTTTATTGATCCTCACTTCAAAGAAGCGTGGAGGTTTTTCTAGACTTATGTTAGTGGAGTATAAAGAGGACTGAACGGAGGGATTTTAATATTTTAAATCAATTAGAAATTTTCATTAAAGAACAGTTCTGAAGATTGCAAACAGGGCATTAGGCCGTCGTACAGTCTCATCTTTATTATTATTATTATTATACTGCAAAATTCTATTTTGCATTATGAACTGGTCTTAATTGGAAACATGAAAAAATATTAACATGACAGAGGCAAGGTTGGTGCCATAAATTACTAATTGTATATTCATCAAACCAGCCTTGCTTTCATATTTCTGTAAACCCCAAACATCACAACAAATCAACACTTCCAGCTTGTCTGTTACCAATAATTCTCCTCTGACAAAAAATATGTACGGGTTTAAAAACCACACTGGTGATAAATATAAAAAAAAAAATAAACTGGTTATAACCTGTCTTAATTTTTAAAGTGTACTCCAGCAGATTCAATCATAACATAGGGGCAACTGCCAAAATGGGCGCAAAACAAACGGATATGGTTACTATGTGAGTGAACATGGGTGTCACACGACCATCTTAGCACCAACATAACTGGTTTGTTCCACTTTGGAGTAATCTGTCTGGGGCAAGAATCAGTTTTGTGTTGTGTGTTTCCTTGACTGATGAAGCCTTCCGGATGGCAGGTGAAATGTTTCCGCAAAAAAAAAAAAAAAAAAAATCTGTCCAGATGACCTGACTGAAAATTGTTGCAAAGCATATATGTTCTTGTTTTTAGTATTTCACCCTGTTTTACAGCACCCTGATTCATTGTTTTGTACACTACTCTTATTTTAACTGCATTTTTACTGTAGTTTATTGTTGTCATTGTCTACGGTTTTGTTATCTGTACTTTATATGTTCTGTCTGGAACAGGTCCCTCTTGTAAATAAGTCCCCGCGGCTCAATGGTAAATGGACTGTACTTATATAGCATCTTTCTATCTAATCAAAATCTATCTAAATCGCTTTACACTACAATCTGTGCCACATTTACCCATTCATGCAGCACTCTACTAGATCTCTACAAAGCTAATTGAACAAATCATTCTAAAGAGACTAATCAGAGCTTTATCACATTCATACACTGATGGGACACACATCGGAGGCGATGAGGGGTTCAGTGTCTTGCCCATGGACACTTCAGCATGTGACTGCTGGTGGATTCGAACCCCTAACTCTTGCATTGGAGGACGACTGCTCTAACCACTCAGCCACAGTCGCCCCGTCAATGATGCAAGCCTGTATAAATAAAGGTTGAATGAATGAATGACTTGAATGCACATAAACCTGAACATGGACAAGACTTATTTCAGTGATCTCCTCTGGAGATCAACATGACTGATAATATAAAATGTGTTTGTTTTGGCTGCTCCAAGGCTGCTGTTGTTCATTAGGCTGGATGAAGGGGAGTAAAATATTTTGAGCTGAAATTTGAAGCAGAAATGGCTCCAGGCTCGTCTCAAAATGCCTCCATGTGTGTTTTTGTTGCTGCACGCAGGAAGAAGCCACAGTATCCACTGTGTAATGCAGCAAGCTGCTTTCTGCTGGGTTTGTTATGCTGTCTGAGATTCTGCATGTTTTTTGGTGCATACTGATTTGTTTCCCCCTTGTGTGTGTGCGTGTGCATGTGTGTGTGTGCCTGCCACCTTAGATGATGTGTTGGCGAGGGATGCCGGTGAGTGTGTCATCTGTCTAGAGGAGCTGCAGCAGGGGGACACCATAGCCAGACTGCCGTGCCTCTGCATCTACCACAAAAGGTGACTGACACACAGAAACAAACACACACACACACACACACGCATAAATGAATCACTGCTGTTATATACTTTTGCACTTCTTCTAATTAAATCCCCTCACAGAACTCCAGTAAAAACTTAAAGATAGATTGCAGTTTTTGCCTTTGCTGCAGAAGTTCTTCATGCTGTATGTTTGGATAATAAAGCTGCAGGTTACATTTCTAAACACTTGAAGATTAGCTGGATAGCTCTGGATAATTACCGTTAACTAGAGAAATTGCACTTCCTGCGAAAATGTAGTGTGGATGCTTATTGCAGAAGAACTTGCTGAAAAACAGCTGAATTTAGCTAAAAACCTGGTGAAATCTAGCTGAAATGGAAGAACAAGTCTTACTTAGCAGAATAAAGCGGAAAAAAAAAGATATTTGCTGAATTACATTCAAATAAACAAAAATGAGCACAAAAATAGCAAATTAACAACATAAAAAAGGCCAAAATTAGCAAGAAATAGCTGAAAGGCTTAAACTACCAGAAGGAAGTGGAAAGAGCTGAAATTAGCTAAAAAATGTGGTGTTAGCTGAAAAAGCTAAAATTAGCATAAACAGCTAGCAGAAAAGGCTGAAACTAGTAGAAAAAAACTGAAAGGAGCAAAACAAACTGAAATTAGCAGATAGAAGTTAATTAGACTAAAAGTAGCAGAAATTATCATGACAATTTTGACTGAAAACAGCCAAAATTGGCTAAAACAAATGCTAAAAAGGTAGCTGAAAAAATAGATCAAGCTTAAATTAGCAGAAGAAAGCAGAAAGAAAAAGTTTGCCCAATCAGGCTGAAAGAAGCAGAAATGAGCACAAAAAAGTGGAAATTATCTGAAATAGCTGAAATTAGCAATAACAAAAAAAGCTGTTGAAAAGTAGCTGAAATAACAGAAAGAAGCTTAGATTACCAGACAGAACTGGAGAGAGCACATTTTTGTTGAATTGGGATGAAAAAAGTTGAAATCAGTACAAAAAAAGAAGTGGAATTAACTGAAAAAGCTCAAATTAACATAAAAACAGCTAAATATAAGCTGACATAGCAGGAAAAAGCTGAAACTTCCAGAAATAATCTGAAAGGAGCATAACAAGCTCAAATGACCAGAAAGAAGTTAGAAGAAGTACAAAGATGTTGTAGTTAGCAGAAAGAATCTAAAAGAAGCACAACCAGCTGAAAAAACAGCTGGAAGCTGAAAGAAGCTGAACCAGGACAAAATGTGAAAGGAGAAAGGTTGTAAACAGATCTAAAGATTTGAAGGATGTGAAATGAGCTCAATTCATTTTCTATGAGGAAAAAATGGCAGAAAAGACTAAATATTTCAAAAAAGCTACAGTAAAGTTGCACCAATACCCAAAGCACCCTTCTCCTGAGTGAGCTGAATGTTTTGATATGATTTGTTGAAATAGCCTAAAAATTGTGGAACAAGAAGTGTGCCGGAAAACGTATGGAAGAAAAATGGATCTCAGTCGTGTGAACGCTTCATGAACATTCGCACAATAAACAGAAGGCAGCCTGCAGATGACTGATGCTAGTTCTTAGCTCTTACAGTTACGCTGGTGTCACCCATCAGCCTCTGTGCTGGTTTCTGTTTTCCTCTCGGTGAATTCAGTTTTTTTAAAGGAAACACAAGATGGGACTTTTGTTTTACTCTTCGAGACAAGGTCAGAATAACAACTGCAAACTGTGTCTGACTGCAGCAGCGGGGCACGAAATACAGTATCTAAGGCTTGTTCCTCAATTTATTCCAGAGTTTATGGGAGAGTTTTGATTAGATTTTATGGATTTGATTGTTTTGCATTTATTTTAAATCTGTTTATTGAAATGAATAAATTATTAACCGATTAAATAAAGGTTTTAATAGCAGACAGCCAGACAGTGCTGACTGTAACAATTAATGTTTCAAGCAGAGGTCACACAGTGTCTAGCACTCAGACTGTGCATTGAGGATGACTCTCAGCTGCTACTACGCCAAATTTGAGCTCAGTATGTGTGGAATTATTAGAGATGTAGCCATTAGCTTAGCTGTGGCTCTTAATGTTAAGCTGCAGTCTAAACTTTTCAGTTTATTTATTAATTATTAAAGTGGTTTTCAAATCAATTCTTTAAAATGCGTCCATCTAATTGATTTATAAATTGTTGAAAGCCCTTTAAGGTCATGTTCTACTGTCATTTTGTGGAAACAAACAAACAACAAAAATTAAATGTAGCATGTTTGAATCAGGGACTGTTATTGTTTTAACCAGTATTTGCTAGATTATGCAACCGTTTAGTGAAAAAACAAAACTGACTTATCTTTATTAAGTTACAGCAAAAAAATGAAATGCAGGAAAAAAGAGAACTACATTTATTTGCGCACGCACACACGCACGCACGCACACACGCACACACAGACGGTTACAGACAGGTGAAATGTGTGTGAAATTTAAAATAGGTCATATGTGAGTTCTATTCCTGTGTTTCCCCATGAGTTTACTTTGTAACTTGTATGTCGTGTGTGTGTGTGTGTGTGTGCGTGCGTGCGTGCGTGCGTGCGTGCGTGCGTGCGTGTGTGTGTGTGTGTGTGTGTGTGTGTGTGTGTGTGTGTTTGCTGATGTGGGAGGATTTGGAGGTCTTCCAACAGAAATATAAGTTACTTCTTTAGCAACAGCTTTGTTTAACACTGAATCCATAATCAAGGTTTCTTGATGCTTTGACTGTTTTCTTCCTGTCTCTAACCTCTTGGTTATATTTCTAAATCTGCAGTACCTCAAGTATAAATGCTGACCAAACAGCTTTGCGTGTGTGTGTGTGTGTGTGTGTGTGTGTGTGTGTGTGCAGCTGTATAGACTCCTGGTTTGAGATCAATCGGTCCTGCCCTGAACACCCCTCCGACTGATGGCCCACCTGACCTGCTCTGAGTACTGTTCAAGGTGAGGAACGCTGCACGTTGTGTGTAAACAGTACCGTGCACACTTTAAAAACCTGAGCTTCCTTTAAAGAAAATGTTCTTCATCAATCCTGGCTTCCAGAAGATCTTTACAGTTTGTACTTCAAAGACTGGCTGCTTTTCCACACGTTTTCTCTCTGATCTTTGTCAGCAACAGAATTTTGTTCAGTGTATTTAAAAAGGGTTTTAGCTGCTGTACTTTTAGGGAATCATCTTGTTGGTGCTAAAATGTAATTTAATCTATATCAGCTGTGTTATTGTTTTTTTTTTAATAGATTCATATAAAGAAATGGTGGAAAATGTGTCTTTGTGATAGACTGTTGGTAAGAAAGTGCCTAAAGAGCACATTTTTATTATTTCTTGCTCTGTTTTTTTGTTATTTGTGGAAACAACAGCAATTTATCTTTTGATTTCAGTAGTCTTTTTAATGCCTGCATAATTAAAAAGTTGTTCTTAGGTTAAACATTCCTCTAAAAACGGTCAGGAACAACTGCAGGGAGAGGTTACACAGATAAGTAACCAAGGAGAAAACTGTGCTGTGAAACAAAACTTAACACGTTTAGAATATACAGATAAAAAAAGAAAGTAATTCGTAAAATAATGTGATTACATTCCAAATGATTTTCTTATGCATTTATGACAATAAATCCTCCTAAACGTTTTCTACATATTATAATAGAGGCAGGACCAGGAGCTGGAAATCCAAGTCACAAAAACAAGTGACCAAATATTAAAAATGTATATTCAGCTGTTGATTTTTGTTGACTCATGTTACATTAATGCTGAATATTAGAACATGGATTATTTATTTATTTGCTTTCTGTTGTTTCTTTAAGGCTTGAAAATGTCATGTGACACAATGTGAGATAGGAAGTTGGGTTTGTGGGACTTTCCATTAGATGGTGACTCTGACTCTAATATTGCAACATGGCAGCGCCCCCAACTTTGACCTTTTGGCTTCAATTTTGGACATTGGAAGTTAATGGAGTCATTTATCTTTATTTACCTTGATGGTTATACACTTTAAATTTTAGCACACACATGCACACATTTTAAGTAATAAAATAAAATAAATCACATTTTCAGCTGCAGAGTTAAGCCAATTTGTTTACCGTCAATTTAAGTGATATAAAATGTCTTCAACTGATTTGATAATTCTTTAACATCAGCAGGATTTACTTTGGTCTGTCTGCTCTTTGTTTCCAGGACACGCTGTGGTCCTGCTCTGGACATTTGAACACAGACGCAACCAAATCCAATGAAACAATCAAAGCGATCATCACGTTCTCACTCCGACAGAATCCATCGTCCTTACAAGATAACTGTTCTTTGTGAACTGAACCAAAACAGAAACATTTAACTGTGGAACCTCCACGCATTAAAGGGCCTCAGTCAAACCCTCCATGTTACATCAGCTGATGATCCAGCATCCAACCCTCTTCAGTCCCTTAAAGGGCTTCATCTGCCGCCCCCACTCCTCCACCTCAGCCGTTGGTCGGTTGAGCCCCAGACATGCTCAGGTCTTAGCAGGCCGCCCGTCTCGTCTCTGGATCCAGGCCTGTCTGTATAGCCCTCCGATGGCCTTAACCGAGGAGAGAGGAAGCAGCGCAGAGAACGAGAAACACAAAAGGCAGATGGAAGAAGAGGAATGGATGGAAACAGTGCAGAAGCTTGATAGGACGGTCCGACTTCTGCATTTTTCAGCTGTGCTCATCTCTCACAGCAGAACTCCAACTTGGTGATGAAGAGACGCCTCTCAGCGTGCTCCTCTTTCATAGCTCCTGCCAGTTTTGCATCCTTCCACACCAGTTTGACTCAGATGAATACATTAAAAAAAAAAAAAAGCGCCTAAAAGGCTTTTACGATCTGGTTTGTGCACACCTGAGCAGGAAACAGAGGGGCGGTTGAAATGAATGAGATGTGAGGATGTTTGTCACGTGCGGTTTGGTTGCGAGGAGCGTTCTGAGCATGCTCAGTCCTGAACGGGAGGGAGGAAGGAACAGGAACCAATGTAGTTTACGCTCTTAATGTGTAATGTGTGTGTCTGGGATGCTCCAGCGTCGGGCTTCACTTGGAATGTGTGTACACAATGTGTGTCTGTGTGTGCGCTTGGATTTGTGACAGGATAGATTTTGCTGAAGCCTTTTGAGTGTGTGTGTTTCTGTGAAAGGTCATTGTAGAGGACTGACTGGGACAGTGCTGTGTGTGTGTCTGTGTATTGAAATGTTTACAGTTTAGATATCCATGTTCCCTGTGTGTGCGACTGGCAGTCCTCCCTTTACTTTGCTGATGTTTACAGCTACAGAAAAGCAACATGACATATTGTAAAATCAAATGTAACCTCTCCTTGTTTGCTCTAGCAGACCTGCCAGATTTTTCATGCCAGCGTGGTTAGTCATTTCTTCGAGGAAGACTCGAGTGTGAGGGCGAGTGCGCGTTTCCGTTCGTGCGGCTGTTTGCGTGGAAAGATTACCGAGCGAGCTGACCCAGAACAGGCCTGAGGACCCAAAGAGTCAGATGCAACTGAACCACAGTTACATTCAGATTTACTTAAAGCACACAGAAAACATATGAAGTGAAGTTTTAGGAACAAAACTGCAAACTAACCTACAAGAATGGGTCAAAACAGCAAAAGGTTAACCTTGAAATTACTGAGAACACATACACAAGCAATTTCATGTCCGCCTGCTTTTTAATTAAATTCTGATGGCCTCAAAATGAATTAGACTCTTTTGGCCCTTGTGTCTTGCTTGGTTGTGCACCCTGAGGCCTGCTGGCTCATAATCTGTCTACTACTGTCTGTTTGTACCTCTAAAGGCGACTGTTGGTCTCTGCTTTAGTTCCCCTGAAACAGGTCTGGCTGTCTGCGACACGCGAGGCATTCGGACCCTCGAAAGGACTGTTGTTCCACTGTGGAGTCGCTGAATGGGGCTTATTTATTCATTTGTTCATATTTAAAAATGTTTGGTTATTATTTAAATCCTGTGAGAAGGCCAAGAGCTGACATGTGAAGACTACTACAAATCATACAAACAAACTGCATTTACAAAGCTACTGTAAACAAATGGTGGAATAAATTGTGCTAGATGACAAACTATTTTCACTTTTTTTTCCCGTGACGCAGACACATCACATCATCTACGGCGAGACAAAAAGCTATTTTGGTCACAAAAAAAACTTTCTTGCTGTTTAAATCGACTTTCGTTTCTGTCTGTTTCAGTCAGTGTTTTACTACATTTCCCAGAATGTCTTGTCTGCTTAAAGATAGTACAAGCCATGTACGATGATTGATCACTGATAAAAAGTGCTAATTTGAACTTTTAAGACCATATTGTTAAAACATACGGATAAAACATAAGATTTTTTTTTAAATGCACAAAATTATTTAATCAGCT